GGGGATTGGACAGCCCCATAAAACAAAACGGGACTAATGAGGCACAGCAGTCCAGGGACAAGGGCTAGAAGGCAGAAGGGGACAGGAAAGCTGGTGATAGGGAACCCAAGGTTGAGTAAAGACAGCGATGATGTGTAGTGGGGTAGTTAACCATTGTCATAGGGCAACGTACGTACTGTTTAATGAGAAACTATTTTGTTCTGTAAACCTTCATCTAAAGTGAGGATAGCAGCACAACTGGAAGAGCGTAGTTGATGTCACTGAACTGTGCATGTAGAAATTTTTGAAATGGTGTATCTTTGGCTACGTATATTTTCACCAAAAAATAAAAAAAAGTTCAAGAAGGGAGAGGGTTGACATGTTGTGGGGTTGTTAACCAATGTCATAAAACAATATGTGTACTACCGTTTAATGAGAAACTATTTGTTCTGTAAACCTTCACCTGAAGTACAATAAAAATAAATAAATAAAAAGGAAAAAAAAAAGAATATGAGGGCAGGAACTTTGTCTTCACAAACCTGCCTAAATTCCTTGAAACAGTTCTTAGAGTGGCACATTAAAATTGAATAGGAGTCCCTAGGTGGCGCAATCAGTTAAGCGCTCTACTACTAACCAAAAGGTTGGCGGTTTGAACCAGCCAGAGGCACCTCTAAAGAAAGGGCTGGCAATCTGCTTCCAAAAGATTACAACCTTGAAAACCCTATGGAGTGCAGTTCCACTCTGCTCACATGGGTCGCCATGAGCCAGAATTGATACTTGCTGAACCTCTACTCATACCACTCATTTTATAGGGATTTGGTAGCCCTGTGCATGGTAAGGCCTATGAATAACTGATTCCACTCCCTTTTACTAGGAAGCATATCCCTGGTAAAACGACCAAGTATCTTCTGGAAAATCCAATCATCCATGTAAAAGTGAGGATTAAATGAAATTCTGAGCTTTGGACTCATTCAGAACTAGGTCCAATTTCTAGCTCCATCATTTCTCTGTAACCATATGGACTCTGGAGCCAGAATGCCTGGGTTTGAATCTCAGCTCCACCACTTAGTGGCCATTTGACAGACTTAATATTCTGTCCATTTGAGATTGCCCGTCCTGCCTGCTTTCTTAGAAAGGGTTTTCTGCCTTTTCCTCCTTTGATTAGATAGTGCAATGGGGCAGGGAAAGGTAAGGCCAGGGTTGGAGCATGGGGGGAAAGAGATTGCTTGGTGTCTTCTTCCTTAGCTCCTGCTGCAGTAACAGTTTAGCAGTGGCTGAGTGAGGGTGATGAATCAGGATGATTGTGCCCTCAGAAAATAACCAGTAGGTGGACACTCATCCCAGCCCTGAAAGGAACCACTAGAAACTACATTCATTTATTCAACAAATATTTATTGAGTACCTACCACACGCCAATTACTTTATTTATGCTAACAGAAGCGCTGTCTATATAAATAAATAGACCACTTGTTTGGATACATCCCATAATCCTCAATCTTTTAAGTAATAGAAAATTATCATAATGTGACTTCAGCCAACTGTTCACACCTAAAAATGGGGCATGATAAATGAAGGGCAGATTGTGCTAGGATTTCATCGGCTTTGCTGTGCACTGATCACTGTGGAAAGATAACATTAAAAGGCTAATTGCTGTGTTTTTGTTCCCTGACTTTTCTCTGTGCCCTATTTTCTACCTTGCTTGGTCTAAATAAATCTTACCATTTTTTTTTTAACCCCATCACAGTAACCTGATTTCTCTCCTTTCTACTAAACTAGGGCAAAATGAAGGCAAGTGCACTCTATTTTGATGCATCTTCACAGCCTCCATTCACTGTGGGCCAGCTTCCCACTAATCTATGCCTATCTAGGTGAGTACCAGAATCTTCTTGCTGATATCTTGGCAGTGAGTCATTCCCCACTACAATTTTATACACCATTTGCAGATTTATTATATTTCTACCCCTTCTGTATAGTAACAACTACAGTAAAATATTACATGTATCTGTGATTATATGATTAAAGTCTGCTTCCTCCACTAGACTGAGAACAAGGATGAAGTCTGTCTGCTCACTATGAATTTGCGGTGCCTAGCCCAGTACCTGGCAAGTATTAGACACTTGAGAAATAGCTACTATATAAATAAATAGCATTTTAAAATATAGATCATTTTTTGACAATTTATTGCTTTGAATCAAGACTCTGCTTTACACAAGTTCAAGAGGCTTCCCAGTTCCTCTTAGACCAAACCCAAAAGCCTCAGCTTGATGGTAATAGTCCTACATTAATTATCCCCTCATTCCCTTCACCTTTAAGAGGTAATCCCTGCTCAAGATAGGTGCCTCTCTTACTTCTCTTCAGAACAAGCTGTGTTTATATCCACTCTTCTGCACTTGCCCATATTCTATTCCAAACCACCGTCTTTTCCTCCAAATCCTTTAAGATGGTAGCAGGTGGTGACAGTTGCATTGATGCCTGCTGTGAATTCATGTGATGAATTTGCCAATGTTGCGTGAACTGGATTTTAAAGGTAAGAGAGGAAACTAATAATAATAGCAGCTGTCACTAATTGAGCATTTACTATAAGCCAAGCACTGTACTAAGCGCTTTTCAAGCATTCTCTCGTTTACTCCTCACACTTACCCAGTGTGGTAGATACTATATTATGTGGAACCATAGGTACTTGCCATTTCTGTAGATCAAAAGTGGTCCATCACCAGCAATCTCATATGGTTCAAACTATCTTTTGCCCAGTTTGGAGAAAGTGAAACACCAAGAGACTAAGTTACTTGTCTAAGATAAAATAACCCAAAAAGCAAGCCTGTTGCTGTTGAGTCGATTCTGACTCATAGAGACCCGGTTGTTGTTAGGTGTCGTCAGGTCGGTTCTGACTCATAGTGAACCTAGTACCTGGTAAAGTCAGCTTTGCAAGTCATACAGGCATCAACATTCTTGACCAACATGCTATATAAATTCCCAAAGAGGTAAGTCCAATAATTTAGGAGGTATAACATAGCAACGACCATGACGATGGCGCAGGACCCGGCAACATTAAGTTCTGTTACACATAAGGTCGCCATGAGTCAGAGTTGACTCAACAGCAACTAACAACAACAATCTCTAAGCCATAATCAAATATTATTTGCACGTTATTAGAGAGTATACAAAAAGTCCAGAAATAATGACACAGCAAATTCAGCATAAGAATCAAATGTTTACATTAATTTAAATAGCCCATGTTTGTTCTTGCTTCTGGGATTACCTTTCCCTTCAATGAACTCTTACTCATCTTTAATTCAGCCAACAAATATTTACTCAAGATCAGGCTCAACTGATAACCTCCTACTAGAATGATCTTTTCCGTCTCTCCTCTAACTTACCAACTTACCAACTGGAATTGCATTCTGTACCCCTTTTAGTAAGAATCCCATTTTGCCTTTAAATATATCTGATTTTCCCCAATAAAACAGAAAGTTTCTTAAGGAAAACTTAATAAACATTCAATTTGATGTTCACACCAAGTCTACCACATGTGAAATTTAATAGGAGTAAAAAAACCACAACCACCTCTAAAGGAGGTGATAAAGGCTTCCCTGATCTCACTGGCTTAAATGTTCTCTTTAATGTTAACTCATCTGGAAATTAACTGCCCTATGATATTCTTGTATTAATACTTAACTTTTCATAGGCTTGTCTGGTCTTTGGAACTAGAGTTTAAGCTTCAAGGGCAAAGGTTAAGTATTACTCTTTGACTTCACACATTGTCCAGCACATAGTGAAAATCAATAGACATTTGATTAAGCCCAAGAAGAAAAATAATCAGCTTGGGGGAACGCCCCTGAGAAAAGAAGTGAACTAAGAGTGTTGCAAAGCAAGGGAGAAGGAAGAGGCGTTTGTGCTTTAACACCTACCCTGAGAACTAAAATCAGATAATATTTCAAAGCCTTGGTTGATGCTTTAGCTGTCTTTTTAAAGAGGTGTGTAAGAAAATCATCGGCGTGACTGCCCATTGGCTGAAAGACGAGACCGCGAGCGCGAGTTGACGGCACTAGGTGGAAGTTGCGTCGACTGGCGCCACGTCCTCTGACCGGCAGGGGGAGCCGGCTGAGCACCGGGCTCCGCGCCACGCCGCGCCGCGCCGCCCCTCCCCGCACGCCCGGCGCCCTCTCGCCCGCCCAGCGCCACGCCTGCCGCAGGCCGAGGGCCAGTTACCCGCTGTCTGGCGCCCCGCAGCGCATCCGCCGCCCCGCCCCACCCCCGCCCCGCCGCGGGACGAGTAAGGGTTACGAAGCACTTTCTCCGCTGCGATTCTGCTTAGTCATTGCCTTCCAGGAAACAGCTCCGTCAGTTTGGAGCCAGCTGTCCTGCGGCGGCGGCCGCAGTACCAGGAGCTGCAGCCACCAGCACCTCCCTCCCGGACCGCCGCTCTCCGCCGCTACCGCCGGGCCTCCCTCGGGCCCGAGTGCAGGCCGTGGTCCGGCCGTGCGGGGCCGGCAGCCTTGCGATCGGCGTTCCGCCTTGGGCGCTGCATCCTGCGGGGCGACCGCCTTCTCCGCCCACCCGCGGCTTCGTCGCCGCTTCGCCCCCTCCGACGGCCGCTGCCATGGGCACCGACAGCCGTGCGGCTGGGGCGCTTCTGGCGCGGGCCAGCACCCTGCACCTGCAGACGGGAAACCTGCTTAACTGGGGCCGCCTGCGGAAGAAGTGCCCGTCCACGCACAGCGAAGAGGTGAGGGCCGGCGAGGTTGCCCGCGGAGACGCGAGAGTGGCGGGGCAGTCCTCGGGCCAGGTGGGCGGTTCCGGAGGCTGGGCCGGTGACCGTGCTCCGGGCGCAGCCGAGGCGCGAACCTGGGCTTCGCCCGCGGGAGGAGGCTGGGGCCCGTGTCGGCGCGACATCGGATCCAAACCTGCTGCTGGAGATAAAGCGGCTTAAAAACTTGGCAGGTGCAACTTCACACCGAATGACGCCTCTAACAGTGCTCACGGCTGATAGCAAAACTCTCTAACGTATTGTATTGCTCTCATCGACAGTGGGGTCAGAGAGGGCCAGCAAATCGCTCCATCCCTCTCCTCGCCTCTCGTTCCCTTCCCACACTGTACAGGTAAAGAATTGTTCTAGAGGTTAGCTTTTGGTCGATTCAGTTAAAGTAATATTAATACATTTAACTTTTAGGATGTTGACAGTAGTTTCTCTATTACTTTGAGGCAACTTACTAAACACTCAAATTTTGTTTTGGAATAAGGTATATATTTTTCTTGCCAAAAATTAGTCTAATTGCATTTGCCTAAAGGCTGATTACTAACTTGGGATGGCAGAGATTAATCTGGAATTACACGCTTGTTATTATTTGTTTTTGGTCATTCATGAGTGGATAGTCAACCATTGACTGTGCACAAATAATTACTGAGGCATATTGTGTTAGGGGACAATTTCAGTATTAAAAATAATAAAGTAAACCTTTAGGGCTCCAGTGCCTATGTGGTACAAATGGCTAACATGATGTGGTGGACTTTAACCGAAAGGTCGGCCATTCAGGTCCACCCAGATGCCCCTTGGAAGAAAGGCCTGGCAGTCTAACTTCCAAAAAATCAGCCATTGCAAACCCTATGGAGCACTGTTCTACTCTGAGGCACGTAGGATGGCCATGAGTTGAAATTGACTCAATGGCAACTTGTTTGCTTTCTAGTTTAGGAGCTCTGGGACTTTGGGAAAGTTACCTCTTAGAGTCTGTTTACATAGCTTTAAAGTTGGGTAATAATACCTTCCTTGTCAGGTTGTTGTGAGGATTAAAATAGGTAATATATTAAAATGCTCACCATACAGGAGTTTATCTCCCTTATCACCTCATTCAGTCAGAAAGATCAAATAAATCTTGATTAGAAGAAAAATCCTAAACAATTTCGTATTATGATGATGTTATCAGCTGTTTTCCTAGGCAGTTTCTGCTTTTTAATAGAAAATTTTGGTGGTAGACTATGTGCAACACGCGGCTTCCCCCTGAGTCTGTGCTGGACTTGTGTCCAGGCCTGGTGTTAGGAGTCAGCGCGCCTTTAATAGAAGTCAGAATCCATACCTTATTCTGGGTCCAGGTTCCAGTTCGGTTTGTATGTTTTTTTAAACCACACACTTTTACTGTTCTCTCCCAAAGATAAATATTCCTGTATTTAGAACCTCAATTTCTGCCAATGATGATGGTTCGATACAACATCTTGCATGTATGTTGATAATATTGGGTGAAATTTTCTCTCTTATCTCTCTACGACACAGTCTGCGCTGGTGGCTTTCGATGTTTTTTTGTTTTGTTTTTTACTGCAACCACAGTATAAGTATATGAAACACAAGTTTCACCAAAAAAATTAATTCTTCCTATATATACTATGTTTTCTTGTTTTTTCTATCCTATTTTAATTTTTTTAAATGTGATTTCTTAATGCACTGAGTCACATGCCACAGTTTGAAAAACATGGTTCAAATATCTAATTCTGGAGGAACTCCCAGGACTACGGCCCTAAGACACCCTTCTGAACTGGAATTGAAGCTATTCCCGGAGACCACCTTTCAGCCAAACCATAGACAGGCCCACAAAATAAACAGTAACACCCAAGAGGTACGTGCTCCTTACAACAGTCAATTAATAGGAGATCTAAAGGGCAACATTTGCCCAGAAGCAAAGATGAGAAGGCAGGAACGGGTAGGAAATCAGGACGAAAGGAAACTAGGGTGGAAATGGGGAGAGTGCTGACACATTGTGGGAAGAGAAGGCAATGTTGTGGAACACTTTCTATACAAACTATGGAATAGGATACTAATTTGCACTGTGAACTTTCACCTAGTGCACAATTTAAAAAACCAAACATCTAATTCTGTTTTAATAGTGTTTTATTTTGGATTCTACATATGAGGGACACAACTAAAGAAACAGAAAATATTTGAGGGGAACTTGAAAGAATGACATTTTGTAGAAAAAATAGGACAGTTTAGTTGGAGTAGGAAAGGCATGTTTCGTTTCTCTGTAAAGAAGAACTTTGTAACATCCAGAGCCCCAAGTTGGCCTGTGCTAGTTGAAACAGTTCAGCTTCCTTGGAGATGTTAAATGGAATAAAAAACCCAAACAAGTTGCCAGCAAGTCGATTCTGACTCATGGTGACCTCATGTGTATCATAGCAGTACTATGAACCGTAGAGTTTTCAATGGCTGATTTTTTTGGAAGTAGATTGCCAGGCCTTTCTTTCAAGGCACCTCTGGATGGACTCAAACCTCCAACCTTTCGGAGCATGTTAACCGTTAGCATCACTTCGGGAATCACTCATTACTGAGAAAATTTACACACTGGTTGGAGAGTTGGATTAGCTTTCCTAAAAAGTCTCTTCTGTTTCTAATGTGTTTTTGAATATGAATTCTGCCCACATTTTTTTGTTTCACTAGAATTTTATGAAACCAAATGCTATTTTTTGTTGTATTTTGTTTTGTCCAATTTTTTGTTGTAAGAGAATTTGACCAGTGGAATCGTGGTATTTCTAAGACTCTTATACTACTCCAGATCTAATGATAACACTAAATTGTGGTGATACTTCTCTTCAGTGATACTGTCTGTCTTTGATGAGAATGAAGAGAGCAGAGAACAAAAAAGCACAAGCCCATGTTTAGTCAATATAGATAACATGTAAAAGATTAAAAATAGTTTGTGATATATAGTCAATGAATTTCTCTTGTAATTGTAACATTGGACTGTTCTTTGGCTTGTCTTGACATTTTTTTCTTAATAATATTCTATGGTGTTTCAGTTAAAAGTTTACACAGCAAGTTAAGTTCCCCTTTAACAATTTTTATACAGATTGTTTTGTGCCATTGGTTACGATTTTTACAATGTGTCAGCATTCTCATTATTTCCATTCTGTTTGTTCTGTTTCCATTGATACAGCTTCCCTTCTCCTTGCCTTCTCATCTTTGCTTTTGGGTAAACATTTGACAGTTTGGTCTCATATAGTTAATTGTTTAAGGGAGCACATTACTCACGGATGATATCGTTCATTTTATAAGCCAGTCAGTTATTTGACTGAAAGGTGTCCTACAGAAATAGCTTCAATTCCAAGTTCAAAGGTTATCTTAAGGCAGTAGTCTCAGGGGTTCCTCTCATCTCTATTGGTCCAGTAGATCTGGCCTTTTTTTTAGGAATTTGAGTTTTGTTCTACATTTTTCTGTCATATTATCCGGGACCTATTGTGTCCCTGATCAGAACGGTAAGTAGTGGTAGCCAGGCACCATCTCGTACTTCTGGTCTCAGGTTAGAAGAAGCTGTGGTTCCTGTGGGCTGTTAGTCCTGTGCAGTAGGTTCTTCTTTGAGCTTTTGATTTCCTTCATTCTCTTTTGCTCCATATGAGTTGAGACCAATAGCTGTCACTTGGATGGCCATTCGCAAGCTTTTAGGACCCCAGACACTGCTTACCAAACTAGGATGTAGAACATTATTTTTGTGAACTATGTTATGCCAATTGACTAAGTTGTTCCATGAGACTATGACCCCAAGTTGTCCTGACATTTTGCAGAATCCAAGATTAAAGAAACGGTTTCAAGAAAAGGCTGAATAGTCTGAAAATATACTTAGCTTCCTGAATTGAGGAATTCATCAGGAAAGTCTTAGTATGCAAACGAGCCACCTTTCCAGAGGGAAATTTCTTAGAATTCTCTCAGGATTTGAGCCAAAGCACTCCTGAAAAAATTGTTAACTTCTAGTCAGTCTTATTGCCTCAACTTTTACTAATTTTAAAAGAATATTGACTTACATTTTTTTCCCCATACAAAAATTTATACATACATTGTTGTGCGACTCTAATTGCTTTCCCCATACTGTGACAGCAGAATCCTCCTTTCCACTCCTGATTCCCCATGTCCATTCAGCCAGCTCCTAACCCTCTCTGCCTTCCCATCTCACCTCCGGACAGAAGCTGCCCGTTTAGTCTCTTGTATCTACTTGAGCTAAGAAGCACACTCCTCACAAGTATCACTTTATGTCCCACAGTCCAGTCCAATCCCTGTCTGAAGAGTTGACCTCGGAAATTGTTTTAGTTCTGGGCTGATAGAGAATCCAGGGGCCGTGCTTCTGGGGTTCCTCCAGTCTCAGTCAGACCATTAAGTCTGGTGTTCTTATTAGAATTTGAGTTCTGCACCCCACCTTTCTCCTGCTCCATCAGGGACTCTCTGTTGTGTTCCCCGTCAGGGCCGTCATTGGTGGTAGCTGGGCACCATCTAGTTCTTCTGGTCTTAGGCTGAAAGTCTGGTTTATGTGGCCCTTTCTGTCTCTTGGACTACTACTTCCCTTGTGTGTTTGGTATTCTTCATTCTCCTTTACTCCAGGTGGTTGGGACCAATTGATGCATCTTAGATGGCCGCTTGCAAGCTTTTAAGACCCCAGACACCACTCACCAAAGTAAGATGCAGAACATTTTCCTAATAAGCTTTGTTATGCCAATTGACCTAGATGTCCCCTGAAAGCATGGTCCCCAGATCCCCACTCCTGCTACTCTGTCCCTCAAAGTGTTTGATTATATTCAGGAAACTTCTTAGCTTTGGTTTAGTCCAGTTGTGCTGACTTCCCTGTAGTGTGTGTTGTCCTTCACCTAAGATAATTATCACCTAAGATAATTATCACCTAAGATAATTTTTATCTACTATCTAATTAGTGAAGAACCCTCCCCCCACCACCACCACCCTTGTAACCATCAAAGAATGTTTTCTTCTGTGTTTAAACCTTTTCTTAGACAATATTTGTCCTTCTGTTACTGACTAAATTCACTCAGCGTAATGCCCTCCAGATTCCTCCATGTTATAAGATGTTTCACGGCTTCGTCATTGTTCTTTATCGTTGCATAGTATTCCACTGTGTGGATATACCATAATTTGTTTATCCATTTTTCCGTTGATGGACACCTAGGTTGTTTCTATCTTTTTGCTATTGTGAACAGTGCTGCAGTGAACATGGGTGTGCATATATCTATTCATGTGACAGCTCTTATTTCTCTAGGATATATTCCAAGGAGCAGCGTAGCTGGATTGTATGGTACTTCGATTTCTAGCTTTTTAAGGAAGCGCCAAATCGATTTCCAAAGTGGTTGTACCATTTTACATTCCCGCCAACAGTGTATAAGTGTTCCAGTCTCTCCACAACCTCTCCAGCATTTATGATTTTGTGTTTTTTGGATTAATGCTAGCCTTGTTGGGGTGAGATGATATCTCATTGTAGTTTCGATTTACATTTCTCTAATGGTTATTGATCATGAGCATTTCCTCATGTGTCTGTTAGCCGCCTGAATATCTTCTTTGGCAAAGTGCCTGTTCATATCCTTTGCCCATTTTTTAATTGGGTTCTTTGTCTTTTTGTTATTGAGGTTTTGCAGTATCTTGTAGATTTTAGAGATTAGACGCTGATCGGATTTGTCATAGCCAAATTTTTTTTCCCAGTCCGTAGATTTTCTTTTGACTCTTTTGGTGAAGTCTTTTGATGAGCGTAAGTGTTTGATTTTTAGGAGCTCCCATTTATCTAATCTCTCTTCTGGTGCTTGTGCGTTTTTACTTAATGGTTCATATTGTGTTTATGCCATGTATTAGGGCTCCTACTGTTGTCCCTATTTTTTCTTCCATGATCTTTATCGTTTTCGATTTTATATTTAAGTCTTTGATCTATTTTGAGTTAGTTTTGTGCATGGTGTGAGGTATGGGTCTTGTTCCGTTTTTTGCAGATCGATATCCAGTTATGCCAGAACCGTTTGTTAAAGAGACTGTCTTTTCCCCAATAACGGACTTTGGGCTTTTATCAAATATCAGCTGCTCATAGGTGGATGAATTTATGTCCGGATTCTCAATTCTGTTCCACGGGTCTATGTATCTGTTGTTGTACCCCATACCAGGCTGTTTTGACTACTGTGGTGGTATAATAGGTTCTAAAATCAGGTAGTGTGAGGCCTCCCACTTTGTTGTTCTTCTTGAGTAATGGTTTGCTTATTTGGGGCCTCTTCCCTTTCCATATGAAGTTGGAGATTTGTTTTTCCATCTCATTAAAAAATGTGGGTGGAATTTGGATCGGGATTGCGTTGTATCTGTAGATCGCTTTTGACTTACAATTTTGTCTGTAACGGCTATGAAATGATTTTTATCTGCTGACTTAAATTTAGGGGCCCTGGTGGCACAGTGGTTAAGAGTTCGGCTGTTAACCAAATGGTCGGCGGTTCAGATCCACCAGCCGCTCCTTGGAAACCCTATGGGGGAGTTCTACTCTGTCTTACAGGGTCTGTATGAGTCGGAATTGACTCGATGGCAATGGGGGTTGACTTAAATTTGATTATAAATATACTTTCCATAAAGATACAGACCTTATCGCTTGAGTTCAAGTGGGTTATTGTGGGCAGCACATAAATTATTGTTGTGCATTGTAAATCTTACCATAAATGGCTGTGTGCCCTTAAATTGATAAACCAGCTCTCCCTTGTATTTTTCTGTACTAAGATAAAAGCAGTAAAGTGCTTGTATCAATTTTCATCGTAAGCAGTCATAGTTTAGATAGTGAGTTCCTAATAGTAGTTGCTATTAGGAAAGTGCTTTTGCAGTTCAGGGGCTTACTTCTAGTTACTCATTTCTTTTTTCATTGATTGCCCACAGAATGCAAAGCACTGTGCCCTTGGATACTTATAAGGCAGTGATTTCAAACTGCTAATGTTGGTTCATAGGTAGTCATGAACCAGTTTAGTGAGTCATGGACCAGCAATGTATTTTTTCTAATCAGTAGAATAGAAGCCATCAGCTTGGCTGATACATCAAAAAACCAAACCAAACCCTTTGCTGTCAAGTTGATTCTGACTCATAGTGACCCTATAGCACAGAGTAGAACTGCCCCACAGAGTTTCCAAGGAGCACCTGGTGAATTCGAACTGCCAACCTTTTGGTTAGCAGCCATAGCACTTAACCACTATGCCACCAGGGTTTCCGGCTGTCGCATAATGAGTGTAAATATGATTTTATGAAATTTTTGTTCCATTTTATATGGATATGTGTTCATGTGTGTGTTGGCTCATTATGTGAATGTGTATGTCTTATTTTGGACCACTCTTAAGTAAGTTTGAAATATACTGCTTATAACATATGTAAAGATTAATAAACACTTTAATTTACAACTTATTATAATGGTAGTGTAAAAAATTTTTTTGTTTAGATAAAACATTGAAGACAGGTTGGAGGCATACCTGAGTGTTAGGAAATCACTTCTGGACTGACGTTATGCAAGTTGACTTCTGCAAGATATGTCTATACCTGTGGTTCTCAGACTTCAGAGTACATAGCCATCACTTGGGATGCTTGTTAAAAACACAACTTCTGGCTGCCGTTAGTGAGTGATTCTGCAGATCTAGGACGGGGCTTTGGAGTTTGAATTTTTAATAAACTCCACAGGTGAATCTGATGTAGGAGCTCTTCTGGCTACAATTATTAAATCATTTGTCTTTGAGAAATACAACATAGTGGTGAATGTAAATTCTAGTCAAACTGTCTGGGCTTGAATCCAAGTTCCTCTGTTTACAAACTCTGTACCCTTAAAAAAAAAACTAACCCTTCTGTGCCTCACTCTCCCCATCAATAAAATAGTATTTGCCTTATATAGTTGGTAGGAGGATTAGTTAACAACCCTGTCAGTTCAAAGTTCTGTGAGTGCATTACTATATATTTTTACAAAACAAAAAACCTCTTTCTTGAAAAATGTTGTTTTTTTGTGAATGCTTTTCTGTTTCATAGTTTACTTTAAAATTTTTGTTGGTACAGAAACACTTTAAAAATGATTAGGCTACTGCTTTAGGTTAAGAATGTTTGAGAATTAAGAATAAGGGAAAAACAAGTCTAATTTTGTAATAAAGAAAACAAACCTTGTAGAATTGAAATTTTAGTTTATGTAGTATTTTCTCTTGATAGCTTTTTTCTACTTATCAAACTAATGCAGTCTTACAGAGGTACAGAAAAGTGTAAAGAATTTCAGAGTTTCGAAATACATTCTTTTTGCAGCTTCGAGATTGTATCCAAAAGACCTTGAATGAGTGGAGTGCCCAAATCAGCCCAGAATTGGTCAGGGTAAGTGAAATGCAAATGCAGAAATTGTGCAGGTCAAAAGAGAAGTGAAGCTAAAGCAGGAAGTTAATTTCCTCAGTTTTGACAGAGAAGTCAAATAGGCAATTGGCATAAAACTTCCTGTGGCTGATTTGAGGAGATGGCAGTCTGGCCCAGTTGGCTTAAGCATAAAACAGAAAATCTGGACTCTTCAACTCTTCAACTTGACAAGATAGTAAGATTCTCTGTGCTTAATTCCCATTACACTTTCTCACCATCTGTGCTTCGTGCCAGTTTATGTTTGGTCTAATCAAACAGTTGTGGTTGGTAGACTGCTTTGGTAGAATATCACTCAATAATATAGTCACTAGAAATAATCTTTAAAATGTCAGTTTCTAATGAAACAACAGAGAACTGTGTTTCTTTAGATGTTAGTATATGGCTGTTATCATAAATGTTAATATACAGAACACCTGTCTGTAAACTCTTTGGAATCCATCTCAGCCAAAGGCTCATAACAGATTTACATAGACTACTTTAAAAGTGCTGAAGAAAACGTGCTGGAAATACTTTTTCCCCTGGGCATACTGCAAATTTATAACTATAGCTATAGGCAGACATTGATTGATGTATTTTATCAATCTGTGTTTCTCTGAAATTACCATTTACTCTGTGCATGACTTATAAACAAGTACTGAGCCCTTGTTATGTGCCAGATACTGTAATGTGCATAAGAATCACGGGAAAACCCTCAGTGTCTACGTTGTCTTAATCTTGCAAACATGAGTTAATAAGTTTCTGATTTATACCTACTACCATTTATCATTATCATGAATTGTTCATTATTAAACATACTGGAATGGCCTTCACATTTTTTTATTGCATGCAGAAAAAAAATTTTATAATTAACATAGAAGGTTTTTCACACGTCTCAGAATTTTGTAATTAATGTAGAAGTTTTTCACAGAATGGATCATATTATTTTTTATTGGTTTCTTTTCTAAATAAAATTATCTGTTATGATAGTGGTTCTAACTCCTCACATACCCCTACCCCCTTTTTGTTATTGTTATTTTGATTATGCATCCCTCTGAGTACCTGATCAAAACAAAACACTTTTTTCCCAGAAAATGGGCACATACACAGCATTTTACCTTTATTTCAGGGCTTTACAAACTTTGTGAAGCCCATCTGGACCTCGGGTGAAGAACCCTGTTGTCTGTGGGTTCCATGCTTCTGAAATGAACGATTTTATTGGAAAATATTGTAGTTAATCAGAAACATTTAATTTTATATTTATTCTAAATATCATGTGTTTATTATAGGAGTTTCCAGATGTCTTGGAGTGTACTGTCTCTCATGCAATAGAAAAGATAAATCCCGATGAAAGAGAAGAAATGAAAGTTTCTGGTAAAGTCCAGCCTTTACAGTTCATTTTGTTATACAGTGGAAGTGATGACCTTGAGATTTTGTCAGGCATAGGAATAGCTTTTCTCTGCCTCTGATAATGAGTGACTCAGTTACTAAGTACAGGAAATATAAATATCCCTTTTTAAACTTAATTTTAATGTCAACTCTAAGAGGGAGTTACAGGAAGTCAGTATTAGCTACTTCAGTGTAGTCAGAATAGAACTTCAACTTGCTGTCCTTCTTACTGTTTTCTTTAACTTATGTGTCACACTTCAGAGCAATAGAAAGATTAAGGTGAAGGAAATGGAATGAACAAAGGGAAGGCTTAAGAGCAGTGTCCACCCAAAGCAAGCATAAGCACTTCCTTCCTGACTGGATACTGGTACCCAATGACTGAGGTCACCTGGAATGGTCAAAAGAAGCCGGGCAACAAGTTGCATGGAGAGAAATAAAAAACATGTTATACCCATTCAACAAATGTACCGAGTGACTGCTCCATTCCAGAGACTGTGTTAGACTCAAGGAATACAAAAATGAAGAGATGTGCTGTTCCTGCCATCAGCTTACAGTCAGCATCATGTAGTCATTAAAAGCTTGAGCTCTGGAGTTAGAATGACTAGCCTGAGATTCCTGGGTGTGTAGATTACTGACTAATATAATCTTAGGCTAACAGGTTATTTAACCTCTCTGAGCCTGTTTCCTCATCTATAAAATGGGGATGCATCTGTTTCCAGGCTTCTTTGTAAATTGGATGGAATAACTCAGGTAAAGCACTGAGCATAGTGCCTGGCCCCAAGTTAGTGCTAGGTGGTGGTGGTGGTGGTTGCTGTTATTACTGTGGTGTTCTGGTTGTGGTTGTTGCTATTCTATTATTATTGGGATGTACACATAAGATGAGATAGAGCATTGTCTTTAGACTCTGATAATAATAGCTTCCATTTATTGAGTCTTGCTTTGTGCCACGCACTATACTTGGCACTGTATGGTTATATTTTCTCATATAATTCTCAAAACAATTCTGCAGGGATTGCATAGATGACATTAAAGAAGTTAAAAGTTGCCGTACAGGTAGCTAGTAAGTGGTTGATACCAGGAATGCAGGTTTGCTTGACTCTAAAACCAATTTCCAAACCCAAAAGCAGCATTTTTTTTGTTGTTGGTTGCAATTCATCATGATGTAGATCCCTCTTAAATGTCTTACAAGTTGTCGTCCAGTTCCAGTAGACCTTGAGATTTTTGATAGGCATCAAAATTCTCCCTGTATGAAAATTTTTCATCTCTCTACCTGTCTAAAAATTAAAAATGCCTCATCTTTCAGAGAGAAGGCCATTTCAGACACCATGAATTCATGACCAGAGGAATAGTGGTGGGACAGATTTTCACAGAGGGTAATTATGGGAGCTAAGCTTGGACCCAAAGTGCTGATCTGGCCACCTGGTAGGGGTGCTGTGATGGTTTTTCAATAGGGAAGTGACGTGAGGAAAGCAGTGTTTTAGGAAGATTATTTAGCAGTAGAATGCAAGCGACAAATGCAAGAAATGTAATTCAGAGAAATTTTATTGCATATGTTGAATGCCATGCATTTTACATAAAAGTATTTCATTACCCCTGTTTTCTCTCTGTTCTCTTTTCTGATTTTTACTTTTGCTCTCCTGCTTCCCCAACTGTTTGTCTGTTGAGTAGATTTTTGACAAGCAAGTTTACATAAAGTAAATATATAAAGTTGAGTTTAAATCAAACCCCAAAGCCTCAATCAAAAATCTAGAAAGCTATTCAGCTTCCAAATAAATGCCGATCAGTATGATCCAGAGCAGGTATATACTGTACCTAGTAATTTAACAAATAAAGATATATTTTAACAATAGCATCCTATATTGCTATGGGAGCAAATCTTAACTGTTGGTTGTCTGGGAATCTTTTGTAAAGTAGGATGGTAAATAAAATAGATCAAGACTTGCAAAAAAGGTCAAATCCTTTGGCTCATAATCACATTCTTGACAACTTATCCTTGGAAAATGATTCAACAGAAAGTTGAACAAAAAGTCACCGAGGTAAATAGCATTATATGTGATAACAAAAAAAACCGGAACTATCCTAAATGTTCAATTAGCAGAAAATCATGTAGAAAATTATAGCCTACCAAAATTACAGGATAATGTTCAACTATTAAAAATGAATATGTAAAATTATACCTTAAAAACAGAATACACAAAAGCTAAACAATAGTTATTTGGGTGATTTCTAGAGTGAGCACATTATTATTGTGATAAAAAAAATTAAGATGATTAAATACTGTATAGAAATATTTCTTTTAAAAAAGTTGTTATATAAAGTTAAAGCCAGTAGAAGTAGAAAAAATATTATACCCTGCTTCATAGGTTATATGAACTGGAAGGTAATATCTGAAAATGAAAATAATTAGGAAGGTGGGGTTGTGCATTCTTATTTTTCAATTTTCTTCTCAGTATAAACAATTCTAATTAAAGCTTTGCATATACTTTAATTTATTGGAGAAAGTATATATTATGCTCCACTAATGTTTAATTCATAAAAATATACATTTCAAGTTATTTAAGCTCTTTGTATATGTATCTGATCATTCCCTTCTAATAAGTGGGAAATTAATACTTAGTTTTTTGTTTTGACAGATATTTGTTGGCAACTAGCATGTAATTAAGGATTTAAAATGGAAATATACTTTTATGTCATAAGATAAAAACTATGAAATTATGTGAATCAGAAAAGAAATATAATTGATTTGGGATTACCTGTCATCTTAGTATTTTAGCCATATTAATAATATATTTGGTAGTTAAATGTGTTCCCAAATATAGAATCAGTAATCAGTTTTGTTTTCTTTGTTACCTAGCAAAACTCTTCATTGTAGGATCAAATTCTTCATCATCAACTAGAAATGCAGTTGACATGGGTAAGCCAACATTTAACGTTTTATCTTAGTACTGTACCTACCCTGCCCGTTGAGATTGAGTCAATTCCAACTCATGACAACCCTATTGGGCAGAGTAGAATTGCCTCATAGGGTTTCCACAGCTGTAATCTTTACGGGAGCAGACTGCCACATCTTTCTCCTGCATAGTGGCTGTGGCCAACTTTCTGGTTAGCAGCTGAGCACTTAACCACCGCACCACCGGGGCTCCTAAGTCCAAAAAATGCATTGCTGGCAAGTCGATTCCAATTCACAGTGACCCTATACGACAGAGTTGAACTGCCTCATAGTGTTTCCAAGGTTGTAAATCTTTACAGAAGCAGACTGCCACATCTTTCTCCCTTGGAGTGGCTGGTGGGTTCAAACCACTGACCTTTCAGTTAGCAGTCAAACGCTTAACCACTGTGCCACCAGGGCTCCTGGGCTCCTAAGCAGTGGACTTTAAATTAGTATAGGGTGTTAGTTAAAACTTGTGTCTGGGTAAAAAAGAAAATGAGCAAAAGAGATGAGGAAAAGATCAGCGACTGCCAGAGACTTGGCAGGAGGGGAGGCGAGAAGAATAAGTGGAGCAGACAGCATTTTTAGGGCAGTGAAACTATTCTGTATGATACGTAATGGTGGATATATGGCATTATGCATTTGTCAAAACTCATATGTAACTATATAACACAGTGAACCCTAATGTAAACTATGGTCTTTAGTTAATAATAGTGTATCAATATTGGTTCATCATTTGTAACAAACGTACCACAGCAATGAAAGATGTTAATTATAGAGGAAACTGTGTGTGAGGGGACAGGGTGTATATGGGAACTCTGTACTTCCTGCACAATTTTTCTGTACACCTGAAACTGCTCTAAGTGAAAGTTTACAGCTCAAGTTAGTTTCTCATACAGAAATGTATACACACATTGTTATGTGACCCTAGTTGCTATCCCTATAATGTGACAGCACACTCCTCCCTTCTACCCCAGATTTCTCATGTCCATTCAACCAGCTCATATCCCTTTCTAAGAAAAAAATTTTAATGGAAAAAAATGTGAAATGAACTGAAAAAAAAATCAAAATGAGCTGATTCCAGTTTTACTTTTTAGAGTTCTAGCCTAGTTTCTTTTTTTTTTTTTTTTTTTTGCCTAGTTTCTTAAGGCTTCTATCGAATTATATTTGAATTACGTAGGATTGTATTTTGGTATGTAAGGGGAAACATAAGAAGTGTAACATATAACTAAGTGTTAATTATATGTTTGGTGATACAAATTCTCCATAGTCATATTAACATCTCCCTTTTAGTACTGTAAATGAAATGCCCTCCCCCAATGAAGTATTCATGCCTGTTTTCAGCAGTCAGTTGTTATTGTGATATTATAGTTATTTAGTACTTTTTCTTTTAAAACATTCGTCGAGTATTTACATATGTTGAAAACCTGACTGGTTCCTGAATCTAACTGTGGAGTGATCAATAATCGCTTAAAATAGGCTCTTAAATTGTTTTTATAGAAATTGAGAAATATACTTCTGTAAATATAGATTAAGACCATAAATTTCAGCTTTTCAGATTCTCAAGTTTATTCTCTGCTATGCCTCCTGGCTACAGAGTGTTAGGTCAGAATTCTTATGATCGACCTTATGCAGTACTGAGGAGCTAGTAGGACTGGAGAAGAAAATTTTATGACAATAAGGAAGCCACCAAAAAATCCTCAGGCTTTCCCTAGAAAGGGGAGGCTGTAATAGCTGTGAGTTCCTAGGAAGAAGGCAGGGCAAAGAAACCCACTTGTCTGCCACACAGAGCAAGTAGATAAATGAGTGCTTACAAATTTTTAAACAAAGGAAATGTTCTAAATGAAAGGTAAATTATGAAATTGAATGAAATAAACTGTTATCTAGAAAACTGTTGAATGACACGGATAGAATTCAGTGGGATGCTTTGAGGACATTTATATGATGGAGTACTTTGAGGATCACAGAAACACTTGTTTTTATTATGTAAGGAATGTTTATCCTTTTTGCGTTTTCTTTCACGTCAGCCTGCTCAGTCCTTGGAGTTGCGCACCTGGATTCTGTCATCATTGCTTCACCTCCTATTGAAGATGGCGTTCATCTTTCCTTGGAGCATTTGCAGCCATACTGGGAGGAATTAGAATACTTAGTGCAGAGCAAAAAGATTGTTGCTATAGGTACCTCTGATCTAGACAAAACACAGTTGGAGCAGCTGTACCAGTGGGCACAGGTAAAGGGCAGCCAGGTCGTGAGCTCTCCGGGGAAGGAGCCTGGCTCTGCAATCTTTGCTGGTTGAGAGGCTGAGCGACATGCACATAGTGGACACTCACTGTGGGGTGACAATTCCAAATGTGGGACTTCGGAGACAGCTTTATCTGAAGTATTAGGTGGTTTTGTTATTGTTTTTTTTTAATGCCTAATTGAACTTAACATTAATCCCATTTAAAATGGTGACCAGAGACACGAGAAGATGTGTGTTAAAGCATTCACAGCCAAGTGAATTGAGGCTGTGTCCTTCAGTTTTACTTACGTGATGAGAAATTACGCTTTTCTTTTGGTACTACTAGGCCGTGGCTCAAATTTCATGAGGGACTTTCATGCATAAGAAATATTTTGCCAACTGTTACTTCAAGATGCAGGCCTCTTAGTTTATATAACTTGATATGGAATAGGTGGAATAAGTTAATCACCCCCATCCTCTGGTCTGATAAGCTACAGAATTATTAGGGGAGTTGCTTACTAGTATTATACCTTTACTTTCTGTATTTTTCTTTATTTCTTTTACTTTATCCCCAGCCTTCTCCTTTTCAGAGCTTTCAGAGTTTCTTATGGACAGGAGGACTCTAGAGAAAGTGTTGCCCCTTCTTTCTTGCTTTGGTGATAGCCACAGTATGGCCAAAATACTGCTGGAGAGACTTGGATAGTCTAGAATCTATATATGAATTAGTCAGTGCAGCTATTGGAAGTTATTTAATTCTTACTCTCTTTATAAATGTGCCTGATTAATAGCCACATTTTGTAACAGTTTAACCTTAAATGTACTTACATGCATATGATTCTCTGTCTTTAAGATATATATTTCCTTTGTAGCTGGAACCATCGTCACACTTGGAAACATGTTTGTTTTCCAGGGCAAATGTATTAGATTGACAAATGATTCCAGCGAGAGACTTTTTAACAGTGTAGGGCTAAATTGGCTGTTTCCCCATGCTAGAGCTATTTTTCCTTTCCCTGTTACCACTAACGTGTTAGAAAAGCATACATTAATAAGTATATTCATGTAAAAGTATTTCATAAACTTTAAGCCATGTAGAATGTGATTTTTCATATGTTCTAAAATTGAGTATTGCTTTCTGCTTTTTATTTAGGTGAAATTCATGTGACATAAAATTAACTATTTTAAAGTACACAATTCATTGGCATTTAGTACATTCACAATGTTGTGCAACTACCACCTCTGTCTAGTTCCAGAACATTTTTACCACCCCCGTATTGCTTTTTACTTTTTATATTACTTAGTAGAGATAAATCATGATTTTATTTTTACTTCTAGGTAAAACCAAACAGTAACCAAGTTAATCTTGCCTCCTGCTGTGTGATGCCACCTGATTTGACTGCATTTGCTAAACAGTTTGACATACAGCTATTGACTCATAATGATCCAAAAGGTAAGACTGATATTTTTATTTATCGAGATCGGTCATGAGCTTGTGTCTTACAAATAGCTACTTGTTAAAATTTAATATTTAATTCTGTACAATGATAAATGTACAGTGCTGTTACCTAGAACTATTATCAGTGGTTAGTTCAAAACATATATGCCCTTAGTTTCAAAGACTTTTATTTTTGTCTTTGTACCAATGGGAAAAAAAGTGCAGGGAAGTTTTGCTGAGCATCCAGTCTGTTGAAGTTTACAGATAAAGGTAGTCTCCAACTTACGAAGTGTTCCGGTTACAATGAACTGCACTTAACAACCATCTGGTTTTTGTGTGTGTGCATCTTATTGTTAGTAATATGTACGACATACCATGTTGAGCAGCGTGTAATTTGCTGATGTTATCACTCTCAGATGTAATGTTTCTAACCCTCAAAGACAAATAAAGATCAGATTTATAAAGATACTGATAATAAAAGGCAATAATAATGAAAACTAAAAAAAAAAAAGAGGTATTCAACAGAACTGACTTTCAACAGAGTAATCGTCGGAACAGGACCCTGTCGTAAGTCAGGGACTACCATACTGAGCTGTACAGAAAAGATCTTTTAAGGCATTCCAAATAGTATTATATGTAAACTTGACTAGTACAGCAAAGATTGGACCAAAGAGCCATTTGATTAAAGAGAATAAATATCTAGAAAAAGAGGCAGATAAAATTCAGTTTGAAACTTAAACATATTAGGATATTGATAATTAATTAGACATTTTATTAATTATTAATATCAAAGCATATATTTGGTGTTAATCAGAAACATTGTTTAATGAGAATGGCTTATCTGCCTTCTGTAGAATATTTATCAACATTTTACAAGATAAGCGGGGGGACTGAGAAGAGAATGTTTAACATGTCTTGCGAAGATAAATGTTTCATAGAGCCCATATAAAAGGAAAACAAAAACCAAACCTATTGCCTTCAAGTCAATTCTGACTCATAGTGGCCTGTAGAGCAGAGTACAACTGCCCCATAGGGTTTCCAAGGAGCAGCTGGTAGATTCAAACTGCCAACCTTTTGGTTAGCAGCCAAGCTCTTAACCACTGCACCACCAGGGAAAGGAAATAGGAAAAGACTAAGGTGTCTAATATTTTATTTCTGTGTATATAAGTGTTGGCATTTAGATTATGTGCTAATAAATCATTGTTGTGGCAAAATTTATTGCGTATGTATATGAGGAGAGAGATTTAATCCTTTTTTTCTTGTTTTCATTCTAAAGCCTTTGGTTAGAATGTATAGGCTAATGCTGGGTGTGCCATTAACAAATCTTCAGACACTTTGTTCCCTAGTGAAGCAGTTCTTCTCTTAAAAGATTTGTAGTGTTTACTCATGAGTTAACATAGCCGAATTAATTTTAAAAGTACATAGTTAAATTATTGAGTAGCATAGTTCTCTGACTGTGTCACATTTTTTATTTCTTAAGCAGTTGGGTTGTAAAACACTTAACTCTGCTTGTCATCTAAAACAGACTTTTGTTTATAAATCCCTGAAGGCCTGCCGCTGTTCTCAGATTACCCTTATTCTTCAGAAAGGGTTTATTTTCCATTACTCTTTGTCCTAGAATTGGTGGTGACAGTTTAACGACCAAAAACCCAAACCAAACCCATTGCCATCGAGTGGATTCCAACTCATAGAACTATGGCCAGGGTAAAATTGTGAAGTAGGTGATTCTGACTTTAGAACTTTCCCCTTTTTATTTGCCTTACCCCTCCCCTACTCCCATTAAATCTAATCTGTATTATGCGTGATTCCCTCAGGGACTGCTTCTATGTTAGACAATCTGATAAACAAATCCATAGTAATGTTACTTTTCCAGGAAAAATTTGAATTTATTTATGAAAACTACCATTTATTAGCTGTGCCACCTAATCTCTCTGCCTCGTTCCCCTACAAAGGTGGATAATAGTATCTATCTCATAGCGTTAATATGTGGACTGAATAAGTTACTACTGGGAAAGTACTCAGCATAAGTGCCTGATGCAGGATAATACCTAACATTTACTGAGAGTTTACTGTTAATGCTATTCAAGTATCACAGTAGGGCATTTTGGACAGATGGGCTCTTTAAACCAACCCAAAGTCATTGCCATCATGTCAGTTCCAACTCATAGCATCCCTATAGGACAGAGTAGAACTGCCTCGTAGAGTTTCCAAGGCTGTAAATCTTCATGGAAGCAGACTGCCACATCTTTCTCCCATGGAGCAGCTGGTGGGTTTAAACCATTGACCTTTCAGTTAGCAGCTGAGAGCTTTAACCACTGTGCCACTGGGCTCCTGATGCCCTTTTGAAAAAACAAAAACCAAACCCATTGCCGTAGAGTCGATTCCGACTCATAGCAACCCTGTAGCTCTTTCAAATCATACTGTGTAGGTGGTCACTTAATTCCTATGTGTATGGTTGATTTTGACCCCAGTGTAATCTTTCCATATTGATTGATTCATTCAGTGGATATTCGAGCACCTACTATGTGTCAGACATTGTTCTGGATACTAGACATATAGGACCAAGTCAAACAAATGCTATCCCTCTTGGAATTTATATTCTAATGGGAAGAAACAGACAATAAAATATATGATAAATGTGTTAAGTGTTGGTATATGATATGGAGAAAAATTAAGTTGGTTGAGGGAGAAGAGAGTGCCCAGTTAGCAGTTGTTGATTTATACAGGGTGGTCAGGGAGGCCTTTCTGCTAAGGTAACACTAATCAGAGACCCACAAGAAGTAAGACAGTGAGCCATGCAGATATCTAGGAGAAGAGCGTTCAGGGAAGAGGGAGCAGTAGATTCAGAGGCTCCAAGGTGTGAATGTGCTGGAGGCTTTCAGGACACAGCAAGGAGGTCAGTGGAGCAGGAGAAGAGGGAGCAAGGAGAGGAGTAGTAATAGAGGGCTTGAATACAAACGTGGAATTAGAAATACCAAAGAAGTGCAGATTAAAAGATAACCACTGGCAAAGATTTTTTAAACGATGGCTGGAGCTTACGAAGATCTGGTGACACTGGCACTCACGCATTACACATTATCAGCTGCTGGTAGAAGTGTAAAGTACAGCCATTCTACAAAGCAGCTGGCAGTATACTATGTATCAAGCCTTAAAAATGAACTTGGGCCCTATCATTCAGTATCCAGGCATGCATCTTAAGGATGCTCATCATAGCATTATTCTTACTAGCAAAATATTAGGAAAAAAACTAATTTTTTTTTATTGTATTTTAGATGAAGGTTAACAGAACTAGTTGTTCATTAAACAGTTAGTACACATATTGTTTTATGACATTGGTTAACAATCCCATGACATGTCAACACTCTCTCTTCTTGACCTTGGGTTCCCTGTTACCAGCTTTCCTGTCTCCTCCTGCCTTCCAGTCCTTGTCCCTGGGCTGTTGTGCCCCTTTAGTTTTGTTTTGTTTTATGGGCCTGTCTAAAAAAAAACCTAAATTTTTTGACCAAAAATAAATGTATAAATTATGATGTGTATAAATTATAGTGCTTGGAGAATTATTTTAAATAATGTTTTCGCAGAATATTTAATTATATGGAAACATATTCATGATTAAGTGGAAAAATAAGTAAATTAAGCTATAACTAGTTTTATAAGATGTAGAGATACATATATGCACAGAAAAAAATGGAAATACATGGCAAGGTAAACGGGTCATCTCCAGTTGACAGGATTATGGGTGACTTTTTTTTTTTCCCCTGTATTTTCGAAGTGTTTTTCAGTGGACATGTATTACTTTTATACACACATACAAGAAAGTTATTTTTTAAAAACAGAAGTGAGGTTTGTGAATCTATCCCGTAATAGTTTTTGCAAATGAAAGGCTGTAACTGAAATAGCGGTTAACTAGCACTGGTGGTAGGAGCCCTGGTGGCGCAGCGGTTAAGTATCTAGCTGCTAAGCAAAAGGTCGGCAGTCTGAATCCACTACCTGCTCCTTGGAAACCCTACGAGGCAATTCTACTCTGTCCTGTAGGGTCTCTGCGAGTCAGAATCTACTTGACGGCAGTGGGAGTGCTGGTGGCACAATGGTTAAGTACTCAGCTGCTAACCGAAAGCTCAACAGTTTGAGTCCACCAGTGGCTCTGCGGGAGAACAGACTTGGTGATCTGCTCCCATAAAGATTACAGCCCAGGAAACCTGACAGGGCAGTTCCACTCTGTCATATAAGTTCACTATATCAACATGTATCTACACAGTGATTTGTTAGACTTTCAACGTTCATGTTCTTTGCACTTTTCCAGCATACTGTTCATCAAATTTTAAGACTTGGATTACTCATGGAGCAATACTAATGTCATTGTTTGACTATAAGATTTGAAAGAAAACAGTAAACAGTAAAGCCCCCAACAAAATTTTAATCCTTTAGTGGTGAAGTATGGTTAGAAAGCAGGGACTTTAGACATATTTGATTAGTTAGTAAAGAAATATGAACTATGTAAAGATTTGGGATTTACTTGTTGAATTATTAGAGAAAAATACCTGATGAGATTTCCTTTTTTAATTTTTTCTTTCGTAATAAGATCGTTGTACTAATTAATTTATCAAAAGTTCTATCAAAGTGGCCACCTTTTAAAGTTTTTGATATCCATTCACCTTTTTTCTTTGTTTCAATATATTCCAGATTTATTTTAGTCCTTGCATCTTTTACTCCATTATTAATTTTGTTTTTTTTTCCCCCATATATTGGGAGCGTGATGGTTATTACACTATTGTTATCTGCTTTGTATGTTTATAAAGAGGTTTTATTACAACTGTTTACTAGATATTCAGAGCTATCATCATAAGAAAAACTTTTTTAAAAACATTAATAATTAAGTTAATAATTATAAATGAGAAAAATAAGCATTCAGAGTACAAAAAAGAAGACTTGAAAAATTTTTTAATGTAATAGAACAAAAAAACTCAAAAGAGAATTGGAGGATAAAATTGAGGAAATCTCCCAGAAAGCTGAGCAAAGACAAAATTGATGGAAAGTAGAATAGAAAAGGTAAGAAAATTAGATCCCATGTTCCATGGTCCAGGAAGTCCCATGTTCAAGTATCAGGAATTCCCAAAAGGAAAAGCAGAGAAACAGGGGATTGGAGAAGATAGTCATCAGTGAAATAATTCAGGAATGTTTCCCAGAATTGGAGCCCAGTGGCACAGTGGTTGAGAGCTCAGCTGCTAACCAAAAGGTTGGCAGTTCAAATCCACCAGCTGCTCCTTGGAAACCCTATGGGGCAGTTCTGCTCTGTCCTATAGGGTTGCTGTGAGTTGGAATCGGGTTTGGTTTTTGGTTTCCCAGAATTAAAGGACGTGAATTTGAAAAGGGCACTGAGTATGCAGCATGATAAATGAAAACATATGCAGACCAAGGCCCATCATTGTGAAATTTCAGAACACAAGGGAGAAGAAAGTTCTGTAGTCTTCTCGGAAGGGAAAAAAAAGATTACATACAGAGAATCAGGATTTCTGGGATAAGGATGAAGTACATTTCTAAGCTGACAGCTGTGTACCAGGCATGGAGAGCAAGCACTGAGAAAGTCCTAAGAGGCTCCAGAAGAGATTAGTTTAGGAAAATGAAACCAACAGATCCCCTAATGGATGGAAGTGTTTTGAGAAGAGATCTAGACAATTGGTGAAAAGCTAAGGATTAAATTAGTGGTAAGTACAAAAAGAAAAAGAAAAAAACCTAGACAGTTACTAACTCTAGGGAAAACAAAGTTGTATAGGAAAGATAGTAATCATAGTTACCATAGTTAATCATGAGCTACATGTACGTAAGACATTTACATGATAATGTAAATACTGGGTATGATCTAATTAAAATTACGATACATCTGTTTTGGGAGAATTGAGAAATAGAAAAGGTGTATGAAGGGTGGGCAAAAGATTAATAGATAATGACTAAAATTAAATCAATAAGTAGGAATACAAATATGTTATTCAGAGACATGGAGAAAACAACTAGACAAATTAGCTAAAACAGGTAAAAGTGGTTGCCTCTAGGAAGTGGAAAATGGTGGGGGAGTGACTTGTTTTCATAACAGATTTTATAAAACTTTATGATTAAACTGTGTTTATATCTAACCTTGATAAAATTTAAAACTAAAAAATTTTTTTAAAAAAGAATTGCTGAAACACCTTCTAAACAAAGCCTGGAACAAAGTAAGCACTAAAAGTTGTAGTATTTCTTTTAAGCCCTTAGAAAAGATACTCCAATTACAAAATAGGAACAGGATGCTTTGGAGAAGGGAATATTCAGAAGATTAAGAGAGAGCTCTTACAAATTTAAATACAAACTGCTTAATTATACATACACACACTCCCTCACATATGTGTAAGTGGGTAGAAATATAAAGTAGAGGAAACCTTAGAAAGTAGGAAAAAAATATAAAATTATAAAATATGACTGAGGGTGTAAAAGAGGATTGATTCTGGAGGTGCGCAGTCTCCAACTGAAAAAAAGCCAGAAAGAAAGGATAGAAAAGATTGAGGGGAAGAAATTATCACAATAGTTAAAAATTTCCCAGAGCTGGACACCCGTCCACCCAATTGAAAGGCCCTCCCTGCCTGGTGCCCAAACTTGGTAAAAACAGACCCAAACCTAGATCCATCACAGTGAAAACTCCAGATCATCAACAATAAAGAAAAGATCCTGAAAGTGTACATAGAGAAAAAACAAGTCACAGACAAAAAAAGAGAATTATAATGATTTAGATTTCTCATAAGTAACAAACAATAGTAGAAGACAGTGGTACAACATCTTAAAATTTCTGAAGGTTGTTGATCTTTAACCTAGAATTTTATACTAGCCCTAAACTATCAACCAAGTATGAGTACAGAATAAAGACAGTAAGTTAATCGAAGATGTGTTCAGCACAAGAAAGAGCATGCCATGTGATCCAGAAAACAGTGGATCAGTGCCAGTAAACCCAAAAAACCCAAACCCATTGCTGTCAAGTCGATTCCGACTCAGAGTGATCCTTTAGAACAGAGTAGAACTACCCCCATGGATTTCCAAGGCAGTAAATTTTCACGGACGCAGACTGCCATATCTTTCTCCCTTGGTGGGTTCAAACTGCCAACCTTTTGGTTAGCAGCCAAGTGCTTAACCACTGCGCCACCAGGGCTCCTTCCCAATAGAACAGTGAAGCAAAATCCCCCAAAATATGCTACACAGTAGGCCCAGGAAACAGCCAGACCAAAGTGGAGTGGGAGTACTGAAGGCTCTAAGAAGAAAGTCTCCAAGCAAAAAAGGGCCCGGGTCAGATATTATGGAAAATTTTGAAGGAAAAATCAAGATATGATAAAACTAATAGTATAAGGAGGGAAAGGAAGGCTTAAAACTTCCAGGGAAAATAAAAGGCTGTAAAAGAAATGAAATGAATATATTACTTGGCACTTCAATGAAACAGTATTTATGGAGACAAAATAATATAATCTAGACACTGCTTGATTTTCATCTTGGGGAATTGGGCTGTGGACGAAAACTGTATACTTCATTATTGTTTCAGAAGAGAATGTGGATGTTATTTTTGACTTTGTAACTGACATGTTGAGGGATGGAAGGGGAAAGAGGGAGGTGCTGTTGTCTTTATTGTCCTGTTGTCCTTATCTTTCAGGTTAGTAAGTGAAGAGATGCTGTTGGAGATTGATGGGATCAGAAGATAGGAGAGTTACAAAGTTAATTCAGAGTTAGAAAGATAATCAGTAGAGGAACTAAAAGTAACCTGAAAAGAGGAGGAAGTGGGAGGGATTGATGATAAAGTGAGCTAGATTTCCATCTATCCTAGAAGCGAGTCAGTAGGTAATATCTGAATGATAAATCAGAAGATGCTAGCATAGGCATATTATTTAGAAATGTGGAAGTAACCACCAGAAAAAAGAGTGAGGGTAGTCAGAGGACTATTGCTTTTCATTGTGAGCTTCTTTGGTACGATTTTATTGTACTCGTATTTTTCTTTTAAATGTTTTATTAAATATCGCAAAAAATATAAAATATAGTACATTAAAATGTTACAGTGCATGTATTACATTTGATATACAAAAAAAATCTTTTTTATTCCTTGTAAAAAGTTTTGTTCAAAAACAGTTTCCCAACCTTGACACTGTTAATGTTTGGGGCCAGATAATTTTTTCTTGCAGGGACTGTCCTGAGCATTGTAGAACGTTTAGCAGCATCCCTGGCCTCTACTCACTAGATGCGAGTAGCAACCCTCCCCTAGTTGTGACAACCAAAAATGTTCTCAGGCATTGCCAGATGTCCCTTGGAGGGCAGAACTGATCCCGGGTTAAGAACGTGAAAAAAAAACCAGGTCTGAACTGATATCTCTGCCAAACGATTACTTTCAATTAGATGTGTTTGTGTTTCTTTTGTTATTTTTAAATGCTTACCTATGGAGTAAAGACCGTTTATGAATTTAACACTCTGTTATTGTTTTGTTTTTTTTTAAGAACTGCTTTCTGAAGCAAGTTTCCAAGAAGCTCTTCAGGAAAGCATCCCTGACATTCAAGCGCACGAGTGGGTGCCACTGTGGCTGCTGCGATATTCTGTCATTGTTAAAAGCAGAGGGATTATTAAATCAAAAGGCTACATTCTACAGGCTAAAAGAAGGGGTTCTTAACAATAATTTATGATCACAACCTACTGACTTCGTATTTTCCTTGAATATAAGATAAAATTCAGATGTGTAAAAATCCAAATGGTGTCTTTGAGGCAAATGTGCTTTAGTTGTATTTGACAATATGTTGTCTATCAAGTATTGAATACTTTTCTTGCCTTCATATTAATTCACTCACAGGAACCATTGTATTGTTTTCATTAAACTATTGTTTTCTAATTGAAATTGTCTATAAAGAAAATACTTGCAATATATTTTTCCTTTATTTTTATGACTGATAGAAATCAAGAAAATTGTTGTTAAATATATTTTGGCCTAGGTATCAGGGTAATGTATATACATATTTTTTATTTCAAAAAAAATTCATCAATTGCTTCTTACTCTATAGTATAAGCAACTTAATTACAGTTGTTAAAACTGAAATACTGGAAGCTATTTTTTCTGTCATTGATAAAATAATTATATCTTAGAATAACTGGAGAAGCTGGGATCTACTAGTACTGTAAATAAAGTTCATTTCTTCAATACATGAATGCAAACTTAAATTTTTTGTGTGTACTTGCTTGTAGCTTAGCTATAACAATTTAACCTTGTATGCTTGTGCCATATTTTTTTTTGCTACTATTTACAAAGACAAACCAAAGTAAATCTGAAAAGGAGAATAGAAGAATTTGAAATTATTGTTTGGAGGTTTTATAAAAGAACTATTATCAGTGTCCAGATTTTTTTAAAATTCTTGATTCATCCTTAATATTTTGCTGCTCATTCAAGAATATTCTAGAAGTTTTGAGCACTTACCATGTGTTGGGCATTGTGGGCTCTGACGACAGTAGGGAGCACAGTGAGTAGAAAGCCAGGGATGAAGAATCAGTGGAGTAAAATATGTGATAACTGACTTAGAACTGACCAAGAGGGACTAAAAGCCAAAAAAATGGGTAAAAAAATCTTTAATTCAAGGCTAAAGTTGCCTACTTAAGACAACTTTGAGATATGGCCTCAACTATTTAAAAGCAAAACAATATAATCAAAAGTTTAGAGCTAGAAGATACTAGCTCTTCTAGTAATTCCTCATTAAGAACCAGAAAATAGCAAGTAAATAAGCTGTGACCTCTGATATATACTGTCCAAAAACCTACTACTGTCAAGTCGATTCCGGTTCATAGCGACCCTATAGGACAGAGTAGAACTGCCTCATAGGGTATCCAAGGCTGTAAAACTTCATGGAAGCAGAATGCCATATCTTTCTCCTGTGGAGCAGCTAGTGGGTTTGTACCACTGACTTTCTGGTTAGCAGCCAAGCACTTACTCACTTGATATATACTGTAGGTCTCTTTAATTCTATAAATTTGTGCCTATAACCCAAATAGTTTGAAAAAGTCTTTAAAAATGTATGTCCATCAATATGTTTAAACCATGAGCCTATATAAAATAATTCACTGACGTTTTCTCAGTTTAGGAGAAAGAACTAGACATATGATAGTTCCATATTCAAAATAAATATACCAGAATCTATTAAAGTTTTGTAGTTTACTGATAGAATAACTTGATCATTAGAATTATAATGTGAAATCAGCTAATTTACCTGCTACAACTTGTTTAGATTTTGCACTTTCTAAAGCCATTTAGCCATTATATGAATTGTATGTAATGTTACTAAATACATATTAACAACCCATTGCCGTAGAGTTGATTCCAGCTCATAGCGACCCTATAGGACAGAGTAGAACTGCCGCATAGGGTTTCCAAGGAGCAGCTGGTAGATTTAAACTGCCAACCTTTTGGTTAGCAGCCGACCTATTAACCACTGCACCACCAGGGCTCCTAAATAAATATAGTCAACTTTTTTATTTGGAAATATACAGACTTTTTTTCATATAACATAAACATCTTTAAACAAATGGTCATTTTATTTTAAGCCTATATAGTGAACTGGTGGAGGTATTTTAAGAGGGAACTGTAATGTCGCATTTATTATTTTTTAAAATCCTGTACTTAGAAAAATGAATTGTTTGAAGGATTATTTTGACAATGGAAAGAAACCTATGTTGCTAATGTATCCAAACTTCAGCAGAAGATTTTTGTGGCTTTTTCCCCCCACTCTTGACAAAGAAGCAAGATTATAGATTAATTTTGTGAAAAGGACCATGTATGGAATGTTTAAATGAGTTTTCTGTTTGTTTCACCTCTGTCTGTTAAATTTCTGTTATTGAATAACCTTACTGATTTTTTAAAGGCTTTATAATTTTCCAAACTAATGTTCACATCCTTCTTTTCCTTTTATCATGACCTTTCAGAATATAGTGTTTACTTTTCTAATATTTAATTTTAAGGACTTAATGTTTTAAAAGCCATAAAATAAAGAGTAACACTACCAAATAATTGCTTAAAACCAAAAGCTATTTATCAACAGCATATGTGACAGTTATGTCTTCTGGGGAAATGGATAGCCAATGACCAGATATCATTTATATGATTGGTTTTTTTCTAGTAAACATAAAAAGAAGCTGCAGCTTGTTCATACATTTTGAAAAAATCCTGGAGCCTTATTTTAATACAGTGTGTTGTATTTTGGGATTTGTTTTATGATGAGTCTGTCTTGGACTCACATCCAAGACACTAGAGTCACCAGAAGGAGCAAGGTGTCATAAAATACAGTCATTTGGTGTAAACTCCGAAGACTACATTGTACCAGCACACTAATAAAGTTTTCATTTAGGGATGGCCAGTGTTGGAACTTGGATCACAACCGATACCAGTTGCCGGCAAGTCAGTTCGGACTCACAGTGACACCATGTGTTTCAGAGTAGAAGCGCGCTTCATTGCGTTGTCCACGGCAGTGATCTTTTGGTAGTAGACTGGTAGGCCTTTCTTCCGAGCTGCCCTGGGTGGATTTGAACCTTCACCCTTCTGGTTAGTAGTCTGGCACTGAACTGTTTGTGCCACCCATGGACTCCTTGAATCACAATAACCAAATAATTTTTCAGTTCTCAAAAACGATCACTTGGACAACTATGTAAAATAAAAAATAGTTACTCTATTTTGCATGAATGGTTCAGACTTCAGTACCAGAGCCAAGTAGTGGTAGAAATTGGATCGTGTTTTTCAGCAATTAAAGGTCTCCGTATCCCGTTGTGTCAAGTCGATTCAAACTCATAGTGACCATATAGGACAGAGTAGAATTGCCCCAGGGGGTTTCCTAGGCTGAAATCTTTACAGGAGCAGATGGCCAGGTCTTTCCTCCCTCTGAGCTGCTGATGGGTTCAAACCACCAACCTTTCGGTTAGCAGCTGAGTGCTTAAGCACTGCACCACCAGTGCTCCTTATTAAAAGTCTAAGGCTCATCTAATTATGTCTCTCTTATGGTAATATTTTCTTTCTAATGGTTCCATCCAGTATTTTCCATATTTGGGAATATAAGTAACATATATTTGTTGTATATCAGCTGACAATTCACTTTCTTCAAATGTACATTTAGAGAAATATGAAGTTGTTTTAATGAGGATTTATACCATTGTATCAATTGTGTTTTCATACTCAAATATACCAATTTATGACTCTGAACCTATTTTTTTCATAGCTAACTTCCTAATGTACCAGAACTTGTACCTGTCTTTTTCCCATAAAGTTGGTGATGGAATTTGTCAGTTTTATTTCTGAAAAGTATGTAACATGGCTTTCATTAATATTCTTCTTGTTTTCAGACTTAGAAATACACTTAAGAGAGGAAATGTTTTAATTAGATAATTCTACTTTTTCTTATATCTGTGTAGTGGTGTACTATAAAATAAAAACAAAATATAAAGTGTTATTAATAAAATATAACAGCTTTTAATTTTACCTATATTACAATTTAATTAAATTGTGAGTTGTATATCTTTTAACTAAGTTGTTTCAATAGATGCAAACATACTGATTTCAAACTATTTGAGCTCAAACCCAGTATGATTTGAAAATAAATTATGAATAACTTTTTAAAAATCCAAACCATGAAGATATACATGCATTCATTCAATAAACAAGCATTTATTGGGCGCTTGTTATGAACTGGGCACTGCAAATTTCTGGGGACGGATACAGAGATGAAAACCTCAATCTTCAAGGACCATATTATTTGGTATGGCGAATTTGGTGGGGAGAGATCTGTACATGAATGAGAGCAACAGACAGTATCTGTCAATGATAGAAGTGGTGAAAAGGACTTGGATGCATATGGAAGGGACAGGGGCTGGGGAGTAGGGTAAAGACGAGGAAGGCTTCCCTGAAGAAATTAGCCTTGGAGTTGTCTCAAAGGACATGGTGTGAGTTGCCATTCTGGGCAGAAGCCCTAGTTTGCCTGGTTTGTAAATACGCGTTTATTGAATGTATAAATGGTGAAGGGTTCAATGAATGGTGAAGTAGTTTATATGTAAACTTTAGAAATTCAAGGGAAACACTTTCTTCAAAAGCTTGTGCTTAGCAGATAAAAAGGAATGGCTTCTGTTGAGATAAGAGTAGGTAAGGTTGGAAAATTACATTTCATAAAAGAGACAAACTAAATCTTAACCAACTCCCCTAAATACAGCTAGATATGGCTGCATATAGTTCCATTACCAGCGTAGTGAAAACCTTAATGTGTATCCCTCAGCAATGACTAAATGTATAAAATGTCATACAAGATTTTAGTGTCTATTGGTCCATTATTTTAAGATTCATGTCTTCCGGTAATCCTTACTTATTTTGATTCAGCTGTTTTCCCTGTTTCTTTGCGCACTGTTTCTTGCATCCTACTCCTTTTAAGCTCACTTTTTCCTTCCTACCTATGTCCTTAGTAATTCTTTCACTGAAGTCTTTGGGGCAGTAAACTTTCTAGGTCCTGATTTTCTTCCCTTGAAGTAGTCTGTCCTTTCTTTCTGGTCGCTTTTATTTTTAGTTGAAAATTTCCATTTATGTTGATATGTATGTAATTAGAACAAAGCAAGAAAATAAAAACTTCACATTTTTACTGTACCTATTTTGAGAAATCATGCATGTCTTGAAACTCATTTAATACTGTAAATTTGAATATAAGACAAAACTCCCAGTTATATTCAACCATGTGTCTTCTACTGAGTAGGGCAGCCTTAACTGTACCTGTTGCCTGCTCATTGGCCTACTACCCGATTCCATGGACCCTTTTATCCAACAAAATTGTATGCTGTGGCTGTGCCTTGTGTTTTCCTGTTTAAAAAACCAAACCCATTGGCATCAAGTCGATTCGAAATCATAGCGACCCTATAGGACAGAGTAGAACCGCCCCATAGGGTTTCCAAGACTGTAACTCTTTATGAAGCAGACTGCCATATCTGTCTCCCATGGAGCAGCTAGTGGATTTGAACCACCAACCTTTTAGGCAGCAGTCCAGCACCTTAACCACTGCACTACCAGGACTCCTTGTTTTCCTCTTTATCCTTTTCAAATCATGCTGTTTTTGCATATCGTCCCAGAAGCCCAGCTAAATTTCTTTTTTCATAATAATCTGAAATTGAATCTATAAAGAAATAACAGGTTGTCGACTGAATATGAGAATACCATATAAGCCATTAAACGACTAATAAAATAGGAATTGAAAAACAGAATAACCTTGCTAGTACAATGACAGACACATTGACCGAGAACCCAGACGTAAATCAATCCACCTACAGTCACCTGATCTTTGATAAAGGCTCAAAGTCCATTAAATGGGGAAAAGAGTCTTTTTAACAAATGATGCTGACAAAATTGGTTGTCCATCTGTAAAAAAATGAAACAACAACATACCTCCCACCATACACAAAAACTAATTCAAAATGGATCAAAGACCTAAATATAAAACCAAAAACTATAAAGATTATAGAAGAAAAAATACAGTCAATGCTAGAGGCCCTAATACACGGTATAAATAGGATACAAACCATAACTAACAATACACAAACACCAGAAGATAAGCTGGGATCTGCTAAAAATTAAACACTTAGATGCTCATCAAAAGATTGCACCAAAAGAGTAAAATGAGAACCTACAGACTGGGAAAATTCTTTTGGCTGTTACAAATCCCCTGGTGGTGTAGTGTTTAAGTGCTTTGGCTGCTAACCAAACCAAAAGATTGGCAGTTTGAATCCACCAGGTACTCCTTAGAAACTACGGAGCAGTTCTACTCTGTCCTACAGGATTGCTATGAGTCAGAATTGACTTGATGGCAATGGGTTTGGTTCTTTCAGTTTATTACAAATACAACAAAGGTCTAATCTCTAAAATCTATAGGAAAATCCAACACCTCTACAATAAAAAGACAAACAATTTAATTTAAAAAAATGGGCAAAGGATATGAACAGACACTTCAAAGGCATTGTGATCACTAGCCATTAGAGTAATGCAAATCGAAACTACAATGAGATACCGTCTTACCCTGACATTACTGGCACAAATTTTTAAAAAAAGCAGAAAATAGCAAATGTTGGAGAGGCTGCGGGGAGACTGGAACTCTTATGCACTGCTGGTGGAAATGCAAAATGGTACAATCATTTTGGAAAACGATATGGCACTTCCTTAAAATGCTAGAAATAGAAATAGCATCCGATCCAGCAATACCACTTCTAGGAATATATCCTAGAGAAATAAGAGCCGTCACACGTATAGACATATGCACACCCATGTTCTTTGTAGCATTATTCACAATAGCAAAAAGATGGAAACAACTAAGTGCCCATCAACAAATGAATGGATAAACTATGGTACACACACACAATGGAATACTACATAACAATAAGGAACAATGCTGAATCTTCGAAACATCTCACAACATGCATGAATCTAGAGGGCATTATGCTGAGTGAAATAGGTCAATCACAAAAGGACAAATACTGTATGAGACCACTATTATATAAACTCATGAAAAGGTTTCCACACAGAAAGAAACAACCTTTGTTGGTTATGAGGGAGAGAAGGGGTGGAGAGGAAAAAACACTAACTAGACAATAGATAAATGGTGACTTTGTTGAGGAGTCCTGGTGGCACAGTGGTTAAGAGCTCGGCTGCTAACCAAAAGGTCGGCAGTTCCAATCCACCACCTGTTCCTTTGAAACCCTATGGGGCAGTTCTACTCTGCCCCATTGGGTCACTATGAGTTGGAATTGAACCAATGGCAACTTTTTTTTTTTTTTATAAACTTCGGTGAAGGGTAAGACAGTGCACAGTACTGGGGAAGTCAGCACAATTTGACCAAGGCAAGGTCATGGAAGCTTCACAGACGCATCCCAACTCCCTGAGGGATCAAATTACTGGGCTGAGGGCTGGGAACCATGGTCTTGGGAGACATCGAGCTCAATTGGCATAACACAGATTATAAAGAAAATGTTCTACATCCTACTTTGGTGAGTAGCGTCTCGGCTTAAAAGCTTGTAAGCAGCCGTCTAAGATACTCCACTGGTCCCACCCCGTCTGGAGCAAGGGAAAACGAAGAAAACCAAAGACACAAGGGAAAGATTAGTCCAAAGGACTAATGGACCACGACTACCACAGCCTCCACCAGACTGAGTCCAGCACAACTA